TCTTATGAAGACAGCCGTCGTCTGTAGGAATGGATAATTAAATTAAATGCGTTCACGTGTTATTCACATAAGTGGGGCAACTTTCTGGAGAACTTTCGAAAATAATTATGCTGATATTCATGATAAAAGCAGAATAAACCACGAAACTCAAACTATTCAAGGAAAGCTAAACATTCAGGTTGTAGTCGAGTATGCTTCCAGTTATACTAGGAAGGCATGTGGAAAGAAAAGAGAAAATACATTATTTTCTCTTTTCGAGAATGCGCTCGGATCTCTGCATGCGTCGTGTAAATATAAGGCAATTTCCTTCATATAATCCACCATGAAGCTATCCTCCTCTTATGAAGACAGCCCTCGACTGTAGGAATGGATAATTAAATTCCCCCTTTTAAAAACTCCCCCTTTTAAAAGGCGATAGAGATGGTGGCACGCAGTCGCCAAATCCTGGTGGTGACAAATTATCTTCCACCCCCTTTTAGTTCGGCCGCCACTTGTAGACTTGTAGAGTCCTTTTTTTTTTTTAATTCTAAAGACGTGAAAAATGTGCAGTGCTCTCGCCGGGATTCGAACTCTGGACCTCCCGAATACGCGTCGAGTATGCTTCCAATTACACCGCGAAGGCATACGGAAAGGAGAGAGTCTTTATAACATTTTAACTTCCGTTGAGGACTTCCTCTCTGCATTCACAATCCTGAGTTAATCCGTGAATTTAATACAAAATGTTTCAATGCTTTTAAGCATTTTAGATATTAGATATGTCATTAATTCTAATATTCATTATTTCTAGCTTTTGGTTTTAATGAAAGACGTTATGATTATTAGTACAAAGGGGTTTTATCCCTGAAGGACTATTGTTTTCGTTTCGCGATTTTGCGTTGAATCACTATAAATGTCAGTTTCACTTTTCAAATTATTGCCACCAAATTTAGAGTCTCATTATATTGAAGAATTAATAATGAACAATCTGCAGAAATGTATGCATATTTCTCGGATTGTGATAACACACGTACCTAGAGCCATCGAATTTTGATGACTATCCTTCTACTAATAGGGCATTGGAGACGCAATTTGAAATTGTTATTATAGATTTAATTTGTAAAACGTAACAATTTTTGATTAATAAACTCAAGGATTTTCAAGCTAGCAATGCAACACTCTACGGGGGGGGGGGAATACCTTTTTATCCCATCGCACGACTGTGTATCGGAAATTCTAAAAAGGCATTTTAAACTATTTGCGACCTGCTATGAACTGAATTTTATGGTTTAAGTGCAAAGAACATGGCATTTAATAAATAAAGGTAACACACAAAACATTAAAAACAAACACCCCTTTAGACGTAATTTAAAATCTGAAACCTTTCAGAATTGTTTTTTCTTTTAAAGCAACTTTGCAATCATTAACACTCTAATTTCTGTATAAAACTAGTTGAAAAGGTCGAAAAATACGAGAATTTACAGTCTGAATATAAAAAATATCAGTTTTTTAGAAATGCTGTAATACTAAGAAAAAGGAAAAATCGTGAAATAAATCATTTCAAAGGTAAATATAATTAAGCAATAAAATCTTTAAATATTGCATTACATAAGCGATTAGCCCACCAGCGGCCGAGCGGTAAAGTCGCTGAACACTGGTAGTTCGGTCCGAGGTTCAAATCCCGCGAACGGGCTGGCTGCATGGGCGTTTTCGTGGTTTTCCCCATGTGTAACGTGTATACGAGCCAGTTGCCCTTAGAAAGTCCTCCACGAAGGCATCCCTCCTCTTAGGCAGATAGCCCTCGAGGCTTTGCCATAATCACACGCACACATAAGCGATTAACGACTGTTATCTACCAGTCATGTTTCCTAACTTTCTTATAATAATGATTAAAATATTAGGAAAAATGTGAGATTTTCCGGAGACGCAGAGGTTAGAAGCGAGCATCAAAGCTCAAAGCAAAATTACTGAAGACTTTCAATTAAAAAACAAATAGGCAATGCCTACAAAACTCCAAAATGTTAATAAATAATATTTTAAAAAGAGAAAATGAATAAAGTAGAATAAAATGCAATTTCAAATCATCAGAATAGAGACTAACATCTACAAAAAATGTATATCATAAAAAAAATTTTAAAACATAAGTAAAAATACTAAAAAGTTTTAAAATGTAGAATCCATACTAGATTTTCTTACAGTGCAATCTAATTCCGTATACAAATTCCAAGTAATACCTGAAATAATTTGAAATTAAAAAATGAGAAATGTCTACCAATTTAAGAATTAATCCATAAAAATGCAAATTATCGAACTTAAAATCATGTATTTAAAACAAAGAGCTCGAAATCGGAAAGAAGAAGTGGAATAGAAATGGTTTTTTCTTTTTTTTTTTTTTTTTTTTTTTTTTTTCTTTGAACTATTCAGATAAGTTCATACCACGAGGAGCGTTTATACTTATCTAATTTGGAAAAATTTTAATTATTCCAGATGTTACTGTGCACTTTGTTTTACTGGATCGCATCACGCGAGGATTGTAATAATCTATTTTGCTTCAGCTCAAAATTCTCCTAGAGAAAACAATAACACTAATTTTACGGTGTGTAAAAAGCATTTTTGGGGGCATATGAGCATATGACTACCTAGAAAATTAAATTTCAAAATATTATTTTATTTAGAATTTTTTTAATTCTTTAAAATTAATTTGCAAATCTACGTTTTTTAACTATTTAAATTTAAGGCAATAGAAGGACTGTTCTTGGCCAAGGAAATATGTCCGTTGTATTGTATATTTAATGTTCGGAAACTATTCTGAAGTGAGCATCTTCCCTTACTTAAACTATCACAAAAGGAAGCAAAGAGAACGTAAATAAGAAAAGAACAGAAGTATAAATAAATAAACACTTCTTGAATCTGGTTCAAGATTTGCACTTCTAATTAGCAGTATACAAAATTAGATTGAATAAGACGAGGAAACAGAAAATTCCTACACTTTCAAACTTGAAGTCGGTTCAAAATCAAATTACTACACTGTTTCCTGAAAGCTATTTATCATTGCTTGTATTATTGTTCTAGAACTAAGGAATAACAACCCTTTTATCTTTCATTTCTCAGCATTTAAAAGTGTTACTAACTTTTACAAAGAACTATATAAATCGTATTTTATTATAGTGAATGTTACTTATACTGCAGTTTGCCATTCTGAATAAAATACATAGAACTGTAAAAAGAAAATTCAAGTTCTAATGCAAGTAAATGATCTCAGTTTTTTCTTCGAGTTTTATTTGCTGAGTAAATTGAAAATATTAATGAGTAGCCTTTTTGTAACCTCGTGAAACTTAATTATTCAAATAAAAAAATTCATAAATAAATGCTTAGATATTAAAAAACTGATCAAACTTGTACTCAAATTTTATTATTTTATAAAGATACAGGTGGAAACTAGGCCAGCACCTCTGTAGTACTGCTTGAGTATTACTAAAATTAGTTGACTATTAAGCTCCTGCTCATTTCTCAGGGAGAAACCCCCGGGGGGTCGGTCTGAGGCCTCCCATCCCTCTTTCCCTTCTAGCAACCTCTCGAGAGGACTTCCGGCTCATCGTATATTTTGAGTTTCGAGACATGTTCTTACAAGCATCCATGCCGTCACCGGGATTCGAGCATAGACACATCGTTACGGTTATAATGCCAGTTATTAATTCAAAACATTCGAAGAGCTACCTGACTTGGGAAGGAAGTTTTCATGGATGATTTAGCGAACAAGCAAAAAGTTGCTGAACACTGGTATTTCGACTAATCCGATTCCAAGCGAACGGGTTGACTGCATGGGTAATTTCGTGTTTTTCCCATGTGTAACACGGATATGAGCCATTTTCCGTTAGAAAGTCCTCTGCGAAGGCATTCCTGCCCTTAAGCATATAGCCCTATACTGCTTTGTATTAATCAAATAAGCTAACCTTCATGGATGAAGTTCTGAAGAAAACTAGTTCTTAGTCGAGTTTCACATAGGCATACGAGCCTGGGAAGATTGTGTTTAATAGCTAAATGAATTTAAATACGTTAGGCTTGGAAAGAGGTAAGCATGTTTCTAACTAAATACTTAACCAACCGCTCAACATTATCTTAACTGTGGTGGTGAATAATCGCTTTGACTTAACTTGACTGTGAAAGGAGCAAAAAACACATCAGTTGCAAAATAATAACTTAGCTTTATTTCGCCCGCTGCTTGTGGATTCTAATAAAATAATACAAACTAAATCTCCTCGTCTTTGTAAAACTGCCTGAAGCGTACCACAATTTAACTGGTTGCAATACCAGTGTTATTTTACACTGGCTACAATACCTGCAATACAAGCTAATGCCTAACAATATTTGTATTTGAAGAGCGACTTCTGAGGCAAAGCAAAATCAGAGGCCGAAGCAATACCCAAACTTTTTTATTACAAGTCATACGCTTACGATATTTCCTCTCAAGCTAAACTACACCATTTTTCAATGAAATTTGCATAAACCTCTGAACTGAGCAAGTACATGACGAAACGATGCATGAAGGAAACGTGTAAAATAAACTTTTAACTGTTGGTTAAATCCAAATGAAATGGCACAAGTTTAGGAGGAATTACCTCTTTGATGTCATTATCTTTTGCAATAAACTTGCTTTATCATCCAAATATAAACAATTTGTTTACTTTGTTTTAATATTTGTTGATTTTAAAAGTGAGATTAAAACAAAATGTTTATAGTTACAAGCTACACGGAAAAATATTACATGATCAATATTCACATATAAGCTTTAAATGCAAGTTACTTATCATTACAATAAATATAATTATTTATATCAGTTAATTTATTGTTAGTGATCCAAGCATCAACTTAGTTGATACACATCAACTAAGTTTTAACTCTTTCGCATCGGTAGAGGCCAAAATATGTTCCTCTCAAACATCTGAAATGTCTGTGTACATAAATTTTTATTGGAATGGATTTCCCATACCAAGCAGAATGCTACAACGTTAACAATAACTTACTTAAGATAAACGATAACATCTCACTTGCGGACCTTTTTGCAGTACTGTGTGCAGTTTTTCCAAAAGGCTGGATTGCAACTGCGAGCATCAATGCCTAAACTTTCACGCTAAACAAAGTAGAGGAAAGGTGCGTTTAAATAACAAAGCTAATTTTAGTCGCTTCAAAAGAATAATTGGCGTGACGTTTGACAACTCCCAAAACCAAAAAGACATGCATTTACGTGCTGGGGGAAAACACCAGGCGGAAAATGTGCGCATGCGTTTCGGCAACGTGCCGTCAGAAATACAATTTTCCATGAAATAAGTTTGACTTTTTATTAAAATTAATATTAATAAGACAAATATTTTTCATCTCCTGAATTATTCTTCAGTTTTTTTTTTTTTTTTTTTTTTTTTTTTTTTTTTTTTTTATATTCAAAATTAAATCTTTAGAAATTTTCTCCAATAATAAATAATCTTTCAAGCATTATAAAGTGAAAAGGCGACAGCAATAAAATAAGGTAAAAAAAAAATTTAATTCAGCTTAAATTGGGACGGATAACAAATAATTGCATAATATAAAAATTTAAATGAGATTTCATAATAGCACTCCCATTTAAAAGAGTTTAAAAGAATACGTTTAATTTTTTAAAGTTTGATTTTTTTAATAGTTCAAGGTTATTTAGTACAAAAAGCTACATTCCTTAAAATAGAAACTTTCGTGGTTGATTGTACAAAAGAAAATCACACTTTTTAAATACTCCTCAGCGCTGAAATCCAAATTTTAATAGGTACGATTTGTAATTTTAGTTATTCTTAAAATATTTTTCAAACAAAACAATTAAATTGTTTTATGAAAAGATGCTTTATAAAACATTTTAATTGTTTTTTGCGCAAGAAAACTTCCAAATAAACTGCGCTATTCTGAAATAGCATTTTTTTTTTAATATTTCTAACCAATGTGAAACAATAAACATAATTTCTAAATTAGAAAAACTTAAATCGGTGTATGGTAGTCAATTCAATATTATTTCAATATTATAAATTAAAATTTATGTGTACATTAACGCTCCTATTTTAATATTCAGTCTCTCCCTCTATCCTAGGTACATGATGTCGAGCTATTTAAATATTCGTTTTCGTTGCTCAGAGCAAAAATGTCAGAATTATGACAGATGAAAGTCAAAGCAATGAGAGAACAGCCCACGTGTCAAATGTCCCGCTATCTGCATTAACCACAATTTAAAGATGCGAAGAAAAGAAAGAGGAAATCGAAAGTATATCACGTGGCATCATCTTTGACGCACTTCCTGCTTAGCTTCCTTCGTTGAATCTTACACGAACAAAATCTCCCGTCGAGGAACAATAGAACTTTTATTTACAGTGCATTCTTCGAAAGAGTGCCAAAGGTTGTGTTGACTGGCTTGTGCAAAAGCTGGGCGATACTGAACAACACTTAGGAATTAAGATATCTCTGAAAAGCCTCTTATCACGTTTATCATCCTTTATCGACATATATGAGAATAGGTATTTGATATTAAAAGTCTTTACCTTTGCTGATCTCCAGACAGAACCACTAATGGGGAAAATGTCTCGAATTGTCTTGCTGCTTTTTGCAGTTTCTGCAGTCCAAGGTGCTATATTACCTTTCCTTCGGACTCCAAGGCATGATGGTGTAAAGAGGGTATTTCAACTCACTGCGGATAATTTTACAAATGTCGTGACAGCGGCTGATACTGCTGTTGTGATAGTTAAAGAGCCGCAGGCAGCATCGAAATCAGTTTGTCCAACGGAATTGGAAATATTTGAAGAGGTATGATCTCAAATTTCTCATAATTAACAATTAAAGAAGAGTGTTCCCCTATATATATGTCATTTCTAGGGCCATATCACAAATGACGGAACAACGAAGTTATTTTTAACTCATAATTATTAATCAGATGCGTAAAAGCCAACTAACACAGTATAATAACACTAACTGGACTAAGTTACTTAATTAAGTAATGTAAAATTATGATAATATATCATAAAACCATATATAATTTCTATCTGTCCTATGTAATCATTGTTATCCCATTCATTTCTACTTCCTTTCATATCTAACACTACCATCAAAACGCTTTTAAATGCATATTTTGCGTTTAATATTTATAATTTAATCTAGCATTTATACAATATAAAAAGAAAACATGAATAAATAAAGTTGGCAGATTTTTTGACGAAGCAAGCAACTACTTCACCTCAAGATGGATACTTTCGTAAAGGATTTCCAAAGGCAACCTGATACATATTTCACTTACAGTTAGCGCAAACAAGGAAAAAAAATTGCAGGCGATTTGTTCGCCAAGAAATAAATTTCAGATGAAATACCAGTACGCAACGGTTTTATCCACTCGGCAGGAAGATAGCTCAAGCGTACTTTGTGAGACCTAAATGTGTAATTTTATCCATAAGAAAACTAAATGATCGTTTAGATAAGGAATATTTGTGATAAGTAATATTTATTAAATTGGTTTTCGAAAACTAAAAATGAACTTACAGAAACAGGTCGAATACATAAAATGTAAATAGTTTTTCAATCGCCTTTCAATTGTATGGGAAAACTTTATGCATAGCTAATATCTTTAGGTCTTAAAAATCCCTAAATAAAATTACGTATTTATAGCATTTCAAAATGCAATCCGTTATTTCTAGAAATGATAAAATGATTTCTGTTAAAGTCGAAATATGCTGTCAGTTTTGCTAAAAAAAAAGATAGGTTTCAAGCAAGTGAACAAACAAAAAGTCATTAAATAAAAGATACCAAATATCAAGACTTCCCTTATCTGTCATAAGAAATGTCAATGGCGGAATGATTAAAAATCATGATTACTTCCCGTTTCAGTTTCTGTGATTACAGAGTTAGTTAGAAGCGACTCTCAATCTTGCAATTTTTAGCAATTTTTAGGGCCCACCAGCGGCCGACTGGTGAAGTCGCTGAACACTGGTATTTCGGTCCGAGGTTCGTATCCCGTGAACAGGCTGGCTGCATGGGCGCTTTCGTGGTTTTCTTCATGTGCAAAGTGTATACGAGCTAGTTTGCCTTCGAAAATCCTCCACGAAGGCATCCCTCGGCTTAGGCATATAGACCTCGAGGCTATGCCCTAATTAAATATACCAAACCGAAGCCATTTTCACTAAAAATTATCCCGATGTCATCTCTTCGAAAAAAAGATAATTCTTTCTCGGCTGATAAAGTATCTCCTTTAAAACAAACTAAATCATGAAAATATAGAGCTACGAATCTTTTAAAAAAAAATTATTGTTCTATGTTATCAAAATGACACATCCCACCAGCTGCCGAGCTGTAAAATCGCTGAATACGGGTGGTTCGACCTAGATTTGCTTCTATGCGAACTGGCTGGCTGCATGAACGTTTTCGTGGTTTTACCTATGTATAACTCAATGCCAAGGCATTTTGCATTAGAAAGTCCTCCAGGAATGCAATCTTCCTGAGGCAAATAGCCCTCTTTCACATTGCCATAATCGAATAAATCAAACCAACTGAAATGACACCTCATCAGGAATTGTATTATTTTGACAATGAACTTAATTTTAGCTAATTTCTTTAAATATATGTTGAAATTTAATTCATATGAATCACAACTAATTAATTGTATTTCTTTTTTTATATCAAATCTTATGGTTAAACATAACAATCGAAATATTTAGAGGCTATTGTTTTATTTAAATAAAATCAGTTTCCTTATTTCGAAACCTTATCCACCGCAGGTATGATTTATTGCTTTATACGTGTAAAATAGTAAAATACACTGTAAAAGGAACTGCTATTGCACTATCAAATTATTTTATGCGTAAGCTGCAAGATGAAGTAGATTTCCATTTAGAGGATATTAGGTGAATGCTCTTATAAAATATATTTAGTAGAAGCCATATTTAACCGGTTCCTATCAAATCTTGATTAACCGGCGGCGGATTTTAATCGGTCGGGTTGCGGATTAATCACGCCTTGCCTAAAGATTTGGTTGAGCTCGTATATTAAATAACGAAGGGAAAACTGTTGTTACAAACTATTACAATAAAGCAAAATTTCTATGAGGACACGAAAAAAGGAGAACAAAATGCGGGAGATAACAGCAGTGACGTCACAGTATTTAGGAACTTTTATCCACAGCAGTTCATAATCGAATCATAATTCTATTTAATCTGTAAAGTGTAAATATTATTATGTTATACGTTAAACCCATTAACCTGGACTCTAATGTATTTTTTAAATCTTTGAAATATTGCATATGCTAAACCTAAACATGTTTGATGTCATGAAATTTTTATATTACTGTTTAGCTACGTATTTGAATTCATACCTTCAACGTATAATTAAAATACTCAGGAAAAGTACCAATTTTAATTACGATAAACACATAAAGTTAATTACTTTGTTTTATATAAGCTGGTCTTCTCGATATTTGAGAGCCCACCAGAGGCCGAGTGGTAAAGTCGCAGATCGCTGGTAGTTCGGTCCAAGGTTCGAATCCCGCGAACGGGCTAGCTGCATAAGCGTTTTCGTGGTTTTACCCATGTGTAACATGTATACGACCCAGTTTCTCTTAGAAAGTTCTCCACGAAGGCATCCCTTTTAGACACACAGCCCTCGAAGCTTTGCTGTTAGACTCATAAACCAACTCCGATATACGAAGAATTAGTGGCCTATCAGCTCAAACAATCAAAATGAAATTTCAGATATTACTATTTGCATGCGCTCTAGATTGTGATGATCAAAAACTATAGAATTCTCACTGTTCCGATTACAGTGAAAACATTTTGAAATTTTCGAATGACAACACTCACATTTTTCCTGCATAAACAGCGCGTTGAAAAACCATACATAGCGTTTGAATGACACATGTTTGACAAAAATTGCCGATGTAAAACATTTGCAAAGAACAGCATTGTAAAGGAAAATGACAACACATACTGGAAGTGCATTGACG